GAGCGCAGTCGCCCGCGCTGCCAACCTGTCCGCATGCCCTTGCGCATCGGAGATGTCAATGACAACCGCAAAGTGGGGCCCAGAGTCATCAGCATCCTGGGCGCGTGCTGTGGCGTTTGCGTTCGTCATGTTGCTGGCAAGGTCGCTGAAGATGTTGGTGGCGGTACCCATGGTTTTCACGGTGATGTGAATGCTTTCAGGCGTGATGCCCAGCTGCTGAGCCAGCTGCTGTTCCACAGACTTGGCCATCGAAGCAGAGATGGACGGTACTGACCGTCGAGTCAAGGCATCAATCAGTTGTTGAAGAAGTCCCGCAGCCCCGTACAGAGGCTTGACTTGCTGATGCCTGTTGTTGGGTGCTCCGAAGGACCCGAGGCAACTGAACGCCGTTTGCAGACCTTGACGAATCGTGGAGGTCGTCTGGAATTCATTGTACGCGTTCCTCACGATGTCGAAGATCAGCTGCCTGTCACTCCGACGGAGGTTGCAGGCGTTCTTTGATGCCTGTGTGTAGCATGACAGGTGCGACTCAACTCTGTCGCGCTCAATGTGCGGCAACGGCTGTTTGGGTTTGAGCGGAAATAGGCATCCAGTTTGCCCTGCAAGCACTTCTTTGTGGATCGCACCCACCGCCGGCCACGCCCAGTGAAGTCGTTGAATCCGCGCTCAAACCTTTGACAAAATGAGTGACCAAAGCTCAGCGGTAGGTCGTCATCGCTGTGTCCGCACACTTGGGCGAGGGATGCGGCGGAACACTGGCGGTAAATTGCGCTGCATGAGCCCTCAGCTTCCTCCTGCCCATGGCAGGAACCAAGCACGCCCTGGAAGCCGCCCGTCGCCGTCACAAGGACAATCGCCGCCATAATGGCCACGGTCCTGAGCACGGAGGAGGATGGCATCTCGTCGTCGTTGTTTTCAGATGTGTGTGTGTGTGTGCGTGTGTGTGTGTGTGTGGGTGTGCAGTGCAGTCTTCTGTCCTAGCGTCAGCCAACAGGTCAAGCCGCCGGGGAGGTGCTCAGGAGTAGCTGCAGGGTGGAGGGGTGAATGAAGGCTTGCTCTGGCAAATTGTGCGACAGGAACGCAAAGAGACGGAAGTTGCTGCTTCGTTGCAGTTGCAGTCGGCTCAGAGGAAGAAATGAAAGGAAGGAGAAGAAGGGAGCAATGTGGGAAGAGAGTGGCTGAGGGGAAAGCCTCAGGTGAGGTGGGGGGGGGGCAACAAGCGAAACAACGCACAAGCACAAAAGGCCTGAAAGTCAAGGTGTGGACGCTGGGCAACAATCGCACAAACGAAGTGGGAGAAAATTTCCCGTGTATCGTGAGCAAGCCCACAAGGCTGTCCCGGTTTGTCCCCATTGGATGGATCGAACAAAGGCGGAGATGAGACAACGGTGCGCTCGGCGGGTGGGACAGCGAACGAACGGGTCAATGGGGTTTGCTTCGTTCGCCTCGTTCTTCGCCTCGTTCTGCTTGTTCGAGTTGTTGTACTGTTCGCGAATTCGTGGCCTTCTCGCGTGAGTGAGACAGCTTTAGAGCTCTCTCTTTAGCTCGCTGATGTGGCGAGGGTGAACAAACACCCTGAGCATCTCTTTCAGTCTTTCAGCATCTCCACTTTCCGGCCACTCTCCCATTTGCTGAAGATGGTTTGCTTTTCTTCTTTCTTGACATCAAGTCTCACTCACTCAAAGACCAGCCCCCCCCCCCCCAGCTCTGCGAGTCTGCAAGCAAGAACAAAGTTTGCGTGAGCGCGAGCGAACACAAGCAGAAAGACCAAACACCTAAACACCGTCCTCCCTCGTGTACCTCAACAACGCAACAAGAACAGAACTGACAATGTTTTCGCAGCAAAGGCGGTGGAAGAGTGGACGCTGTTCCTTTCACACTCCTACTTGGCAGCGGCTCTGCTGCTTCAGTGCTTGGCACCGCATCCGACTGCGGTGTTGGGCGCTGTCCTCAAAGAAGAGGATTCCGGCAGGCTGGTAATTAACACCACAGACCCCGAACGGCGTCGACGTGCAAGGCTTGCACAACACCGTTGCAAGGCTTCAGGACGAGATCGCCAGCATGAAAGACTTGCTCAACGGGAATTCGCTCAGGTGCGACGTAGACTCGGGCATTGCAGACGTTTTTGGCGACGACGAAATGCAAAGTGGAGATCGCAGGTGAAAGTGCACACCCGTGGACGCTCGCCGCTCGCTTCTCAAACGACGGCACCAATACATGGACATTGAATCGCTGCAACCTGTGGTCAAACCAAGAACTCGTTTGAACAGCAGAATGCCAGAACGACTTCAAAGGAAACGCGTGGTTTCCAAAGGCAGTGGACGTGCTGTTTGTCTCCAACACGGAAGAGTGGATCCCGTACGAAGGTGCGCTGGCCAGCGATTCCCTTCAAGCCCTCTTCTCAGGCGTCCCGGTGCCGTGCAGCACCGGCTGTCTGAAGCTGCAACGTGTCCGCCAAAGGAAGCCGATGCGACGAAGACGTGTTGATGGCACGGCTCCGACTCGACGTATGGCAAAAGCACATGCGGCTTCGCGTGGAGTTTTGGTCACAACGCCCGCCGTCCATTGGGCGAAACTGGGTCGCTTGGGCCCTTGCGTACATCCGCCAACGCAGAGCAGTCTGCGCTTGGCTTTCTCGGCAGTGCTTCGAATGGCGCCTTCATGGAGGTGTATGTTCGTTGATGTGTCGACGTCGCCCAAAGTGAGGCAGAGGAGAAGAAGGACGGAGGGAGGGTATGCTTGTGCTAGCATAAAAAGAGAGAGAGAGAGAGAGAGTGTGTGTGTGTGTGTGTGTTCGCTTCAGTGTCTCAGCGCCTCTCTGTGTGCCTCTCTGTGTTTGCATTTGCATTCGGCTGCGTCGCCACTGTCCTCTCTCCACTCCTGTCTCTGTGTCCAAATGCCTCACTCATGGGCAAGGGTGTGGACAGCATTGGTCGACAGGACCGCAGGCCGGCAAGCTTATTGCTTGCGTATCGATGTGCCGAACGTGTTAAACGCGCCATATTCAAGACTGGTTTGTTGGTTTGTCAAAGGATGTGTCTGCGTGCATGGCGAATGCGCAGAGGTTTCAGCTGGAGCTGTCAGCAACAAAACAAGTGGATCTATGTGCATGAAAGACAGAGGAGGGTGAGCAATTACTTCATGGTGCACTTCTGTGTGTGTGTGTGTCTGTCTGTGTGTGTGTCTGTGTCTGTGTCCTTCTTACCTTTGGTGTGTGCGGATTTCTGCCTCCTTTGATGAACCTCATGTGGTGAGTGTCGAACGATTGCATCGACCTTTGTTTGCGTGCTTCGTGTATCTTCTGTTTCCTTTGTTCTACCTCGACTGCTGAGTAGAGTAGACCCACACAGGCCTTTACGTTGACCACCCGGCATCTTGTGTCGACTGCATGCAATTCAACGTCCAGACAGCGTGCACCATCCCTCTTCTTTGCTCACACTTCTTCAATGCACGCGTGTGTTGTGTGTGCTGGCACTGACTCCCAAACAAACAACGCCCGTTCTGTAACTGAACTGATTCCCCTGACGAGACAATGGTGTTTTTTCGTTTATGACACGTCGACAAGACACCCAACAGAGAAGGAGAGACGCTAGAGATAGCGACCAAACGACCAAGGTCTTCGCCACACATGTGCAATTCAACAACTCAAGCAGCCTGAAGGGCTAATCGCCATCATCACAGGCCACTCCATCAAGAAGAGGAAGAACCAAACACGCCAACAGTGCAAGCAACGAAGACGTATTCACGAGAGCCATGTGTCAGAGTCAGCTTGCTGCGTATCATGATGCGTGTCGTCCTCCTGTGTGACGATGGCTGGATGCTGCTGTCGTGAGCACTCCTGTGCTTGTGCTTCACTTCACGGCCACACTGGTCTTCGCACTGTCCATCTGTCTGTGTCCTTACCTTTAGTGTGTGCGGATTTCTGCCTCCTTTGATGAACCTCATGTGGTGAGTGTCGAACGATTGCATCGACCTTTGTACGCGTGCTTCGTGTATCTTCTGTTTCCTTTGTTCCACCGCGACTGCCGAGTGGAGTAGACCCACACACTCACACAGGCCTTTACGTTGACCACCCGGCATCTTGTGTCGACTGCATGCAGTTCAACGTCCAGACAGCGTGCACCATCCCTCTTCTTTGCCCACACTTCTTCAATGCACGCGTGTGTTGTGTGTGCTGGCACTGACTCCCAAACGAATAACGCCCGTTCTGTAACTGAACTGATTCCCCTAACGAGATAATGGTGTTTATTCGTTTATGACACGTCGACAAGACACCCAACAGAGAAGGAGAGACGCTAGAGATAGCGACCAAACGACCAAGGTCTTCGCCACTCGTGTGCAATTCAACAACTCAAGCAGCCTGAAGGGCTAATCGCCATCATCACAGGCCACTCCATCAAGAAGAGGAAGAACCAAACACGCCAACAGTGCAAGCAACGAAGACGTATTCACGAGAGCCATGTGTCAGAGTCAGCTTGCTGCGTATCATGATGCGTGTCGTCCTCCTGTGTGACGATGGCTGGATGCTGCTGTCTTGCGCACTCCTGTGCTTGTGCTTCACTTCACGGCCACACTTGCGACAGACATGGTGGGGCATGGTTCCAGTTCAAGACTTCTCTCTACACAGCTCCACAACAACAGCGTCAGCCTGACACTAAGCACGGCAAACAAGCGAACAAGCGAAACGGAAGGTAGAAAGTGGCGTGGTTTGTGGTCGACAAGAAAATAGAGACTGAGAGGAGGACCAATGGCGCGAAAATTTAGGCGCATGCGTCACAAAGATGGGCAAACGGATCGCTCAATCCCAAAGTCAAATCTGCCTTGGAGCTGGGCACGTGTGAAAGGGAGAGCGTGGTCATCCATCGCCAACCGTTACTCACCTCACGTTGCTGTTGCTGCAGACAAGAGAACGAAAGAACTACGGGCAGTTCAATACTTCAATGCAATGTTTCATTGGTACGGTGTGATTTGTGACTGCTTGTCCGCTCCGAAGAAACCAGCAGCGTTGATTTGCAGTTTTCGTAATCACGCATATGCAATGCACACGTGTTCGATCACAGATTCATGCAAACACACACACACACACACCCACGTCTGCGTGTGCGGTTCACCGTGGCTTGTCCTCTCCTCTTGTCTCCGTCCCCTGCTCGAGTCACGCTCTCTCTGTGGCTGATGGGGACGCCTGTTCTGAAAGACTGTCAACCACGACGCACGCACTGTCGCAGATGGGTTTGCTGACAGACTGTAGAGATATGATGTCCTTGTTTCCTTTGCCTCCCACTCTATCGTCTCCTCTCTGGGTGTGTCATAGCCCTCAAAAGGAGTCGCGCTGTTTGGCTGTTATTGTGCCACATGACGCAGGTGGTTGTGACGACTTTTGTGATGACGACTGCAACGCTGGCTGCGATTACGGGTAAGGAAGCTCGTCTTCGTCCGTTCCAAATTACACACACACAGAGCTTGTGCACCATGCTAGCATAAGTCCTGTTTGAGCTTGCAACGCAACCCAACACGTGCGTGATCTCACACTGTTCACCTGTTGCCTCTCGAATGCTCTGTTGCCTGTTTTCTTCCTGCTTTACCTCCTTCTCTTTGCCAGCTGCGATTACTATTGCGACTCTGGATGCGACTCGTAAGTTTATCATCGGAAGGCGTGCGTGGAGCTGTTCACACGCGTCAATGTTGGCCGCTTGCTCGCTTTTTGTTGTTGTCTTCTCTTCTTCTGTTCCTGTACCTTCTACTGCTGCCCACCGCTCATGAGCTGTCTCACACGTCCACGACCTTCAGGAGCTGCTCGACGTCCTGCTCAAGCTGTGATGACAGCTGTGATTCCAATTGCACCATTTTCAGCATCGGATGCGAGAGTGAGTGCAAAGCCAATCTCTCTTGTGCTTCCGAGCACCATCTCATTGCATATCACACACCGCAAGCACATTTTACGCTTGTGATGCCGTTGACTCGTGTGTTTGTGTCGTTTAACTCAGCATTCTTCACCGCTTTGGTCTGTTTCATTTTTACCACCATTTACAGGCAGTTGCGACAGCAGCTGTGATTACTGTGTCACCACCTGCGATGACTCCTGCGACGACTACTGTGACGGAGGCTGTGGTTCGTTGCTCAAACATGCCACACCATGCATCATTGCCCCAGCCTCCCGTGTTGCACGGCAACGTACAACGGATGGCATTCGTGGTCTAACATTTGGACGCATGCGGTGTTTGACACCATAACTTTAGACGACGGCTGTGATACCTGCTACAGCGGATGCGACTCTGGCTGCGACATCTGCTACGACAGCTGCGATGATTGTGCGTTTGTCTTATGAATGCTTGCTTGCAAATGATAGGCTTGTGAGGTCATTTGCTGGCTTGTCACTGGGAACACGAGCTTGCTACCCGGGAGCGCACACATCACACACGTTCTCGTTCACACACGCACACACACGCACACGCACACACACACACACCACACATGCACACGCGCGCGCGCTTTCCACTGATGCCTTTGCGCTTGCCAGATTGCAACGGGAATTGCGACTACGGATGCGACGACACATGTGCTTGGGTGAGTGATATCGTCAACATGTTCGTCAGTGAGACCACTTTAGCGCAGTGTCACATGCTTCCTCCTCACATACATCGTCCTCTGCCCACGCTTCCCCGTAAACCCCACATCAACACCCATATGGCTGCAGACATACTGCGACGACTACTGTGACGATGGCTGCGGTCAGTTACCACCGACATCCCACCTGGCCTGCCAATGCTTGCAGGCCTGTAAAGTTTATTGACTGGCATGATGATCGTCTTGTTTTGTGTGTGTGTGGCCGACATCTCACTCCGTTCAACTCCGATAACCGTGCTCTCGTCGCGTTGACATGCCAACACCAACAGACGATTCATGTGGTGAGTGCATGCAGCTGCTGAAATGAACTCTCTTCAATTGTGCCCTCTGCTGTTTTTGCTGATGTGCACCAGCCATCACCGCCTTGCTGCCAAGTCTTGATTTTCCAATACACAAGCTCACATGCACCTAACTTGCGCCCCCCAAACTTTCCCTTCTTCCTAACGCAGACACTGGCTGCGACGGCCCATGCGATTCGTAAGATGTGTCGGTCTTGTCTGTTCACTCACATTACATGTTGCTGGCGCGACTCGATGATTACTGCGACTCTCTCCTCCCCTGCACAACTGAACCATTATTCACATTCAACATCCCTTGCGTTACCGCTGTCACCGCTCACACCTGCTCGTTCTTGGCTCCCATGAATTATCTGCGGTTCATCATCCTCAGGGGCTGTGATGATAGCTGCGGTGCGTTCCAATCTCCCTTTGCCCTCATTGCATTGATGGAACTCTGCTAGAACATTGTGTCGACATTAATGTGGCTCCTGCCTTGCTTACGTCTGCTGCACGGCCGCCTTCCCCGCTCACTTCAAATCATGTTGACGAACCTCCCTTCTTTTAAAATCGCTGTTTGCCATCGCAGATGACTCCTGCGACACGTGTACGCCGATCAGCTGCGACACGGGCTGTGACAGCAGCTGCTACTGCAACCCTGGCTACTACGGCACAGCCCCATACTGCTCATACTGCGGCACAGGCACATACATGCCCTACTACGGAGCGACGAACTGCTACGCATGCGACAACTGTTCACCCGGTGAATACCGCTCTGGGTGCGGAGGATCAAGCGCAGGCACTTGTCGGGCATGTGCCTCTTGTCCTGCCGGCACCTACCGCTACAAGTGCGGCGGCCAAAACAGCGGATATTGCCGCACGTGCTCGTCAGGGTAAGTTTGATGCTCGGCAACAAGCTCACTCACGCAAGACACATGCTGCCCTGTGGTGTGCAAATATTCGCTTGCGTTGATCATGCATGAATTCGAGAACACTCACTCGGCTGTTGCAATTGCGTTTCCCCTTGCTTTGTAGAACGTACAAATTGGTTAATAGCACAGGCAATTGCACGTCATGCACCGCTTGTCCATCTTCCACGTACGAGACATCGCCATGTACCTCCACCTCAAACCGAAGGTGCACTCGCTTGACAGTGTGCACGAGCAGCCAGTACGAAGTTCGTTCTCAAACAGCAACAACCGACCGCGTGTGCCGCGGGCTGACAACGTGCGGTGCAGGGGAGCAGGAGAAGGTGGCGCCGACGGCGAGCAGCGACCGCGTGTGCGAGGCGTGCCCAGCTGGGACGACGGATGCCAACAGCGACGGCAGCGACGCGTGCGTGACGTGCGGCGGTGGGACGTATGTGCCAGCTGGGTCGACTGGGACTTGCTCGCAGTACGAGTGCAGCGCGGGCACGGCTGACACAGACAGCAACGCTGGGACGGCGTGCGAGACGTGCGACGGGGCGACGACGTACCAGCCGAGCAAGGGCCAGGAGCGGTGCCTGAGTGTGAAGACGTGCGGGGCTGGCGAAGAGGAGACGACGTCGCCGAGTGCGACGCGGAACCGGGTGTGTCAGCCGTGCCAGCTCGGGTCGACGTTCAAGGCGCAGAGCGGACAGAGCACGCGGTGCATTTCTGTGACGACGTGCGGCGCTGGTGAGGAGGAGATTGCTTCGCCGACGCTGTCCACAGATCGGCAGTGCCGCACGTGTGCCAGTGGGACGTTCAAGGCTGCTGCTGGGCAGGGCACGACATGTGTTGCTGTGAGCACGTGTGCTGCTGGCTTCACGGTACGTCACTGTGTAGTGTGTGTGTGTGTTTTGACTGACTGTGTGCATGTGTGTGCATATGTGTGCATATGTGTGCATGTGTGTGTGTGTGTGTGTGTGTGTGTGTGTGTGAGAGAACTTGGGTTGTACAAGCCGTGCGTGAGTGTGTGCCTGGGCTGTATGTTTGGTTACGATGGCTCACGCGTGGTTGGTGTGATGCGACTGCGATGCAACAATGTGCTTGTGTGTGCGTGTTTGTGTGTGTGTTTGTAGGAGGATGTTGCTCCGACACCATCGTCTGATCGGGTGTGCGTTGAGTGTGCGCCCGGGACATTTAAGGCGACTGCTGGCGATGGGACGTGTCGTGCGCACAGGACGTGTGAGGACACCGAGTATGAGACGGTTGCGCCGACGAGCTCGTCTGATCGGAAGTGCAAGGCGCTGACGGTGTGCCAGGATGACGAGTGGGAGTCCAAGGCACCGACAATAACCACGGACAGAGAGTGCTCTCCTTGCGGCAGGTGTACGGATGGGCTGACACTTGACAAGGCATGCACTGATACGTCGCCAACCAAGTGTGTTGGGTGTGACGAGTGTGCGTCCGATGAGTACACGCTTTCGTCATGCACGTTGAGCTCTCAAACGCAGTGCCGACAGTGCACGACGTGTGGCAGCGATGAGTACCAGACGAAGGCTTGCAGCGTGTCGCAGGACACGGAGTGTGCGACGCTGACGACGTGCAGCAGCACGCAGTTTGAGGTTGAGGCGCCGACAGCGACGCGTGACCGCCGGTGCAAGGACCTGACGGCGTGCCAGCCTGGGGAGTACGAGTGCACGGCAGCGACGCTGACGACGGACCGCGAGTGCTGCGGGGTGACGCAGTGTGTGCCGGGCAGCGAGGAGACGTCCGCGCCGACGGCGACGTCTGATCGGGAGTGCCGGCAGTGTGTTGCGGGCACGACGGATGCTGACGGAAGCGGGACGACGCCCTGTGTTGCGTGCAGTGCCGGGCACTATGTGCCGCGCGGACGCACTGGCGGGTGTGCGGCGTTTGAGTGCGCGGCGGGCCACGTGGACCAGGACGAGGATGCTGCGACGGCGTGCAAGTTGTGCGAGGCAGGCGTAAACTATGCCGGGAGCGCTGGGCTGACGAGGTGCACGTCTGTGAGCGAGTGCGGCGCTGGCGAGGAGGAGACGAGCGCGCCGACAGCGTCAACGGACCGGGTGTGCAGCACGTGCGCGTCTGGGAAGTTCAAGGCGACAACTGGGCAGACGCCGTGCCAGCCTGTGTCGACGTGCGAGGAGGACGAGTACGTGTACCGTGCGGCGACTGTGAGCACGGACACGCAGTGCCGAGCGCTGACGGCGTGCAGTGATGAGCAGTATGAGACGCGCGCGCCGACAGTGAACAGCGACCGGGAGTGCACGGGGCTGACGACGTGCGGGAGCGGCGAGTACGAGACGCGCGCGCCGACGGCGACGACGGATCGCAAGTGCGCGAGTGTGACGCAGTGCGACTCGACGCAGTTTGTGGTGTCGAAGCCGACGGCGACAACGGACCGGGACTGCGCTGAGTGCGACCGGTGCGACAGCGGGACGCAGTATGAGACGGCGACGTGCACGGCGACGACGAACAGGGTGTGTGCGGACCTGACGGTGTGTGCGGACACGGAGTACGAGTCTGTTGCCGCGACGGACTCGAGCGACCGCAAGTGCTCGAGCTGCCGGGAATGCACGTCGTCTGAGTATCTTATGTCTGGGTGCAGCGAGAGCGCGAATGCTGTGTGCAAGGCGTGCACTGAGTGCCCAAGCGGGACGTTTGTGTCGACGGCGTGCACGCCGCTTGCTGATGCCGAGTGCACGGAATGCACGCGGTGCGGGAGCGGGTACTTTGTGCAGTCGCCGTGCACGAGCGAGGCAGACACGACGTGCAAGCGGTGCCGGTCGTGCGCGAGCGGAGAGTATCTGCACACGGCATGCACGAGCAGCGCTGATGCTGTGTGCCGGAAGGTGAGCACGTGCGATGTGGATGCTGGGTATGAGGTGAAGGCGCCGACGGCGACGACAGACCGGGAGTGCCGGGCGCTGACCACGTGCGATGGTGAGAGCGAGTTTGAGTCTCGTGCACCGACGCTGACGAGCGACCGCGTGTGCAGCAAGCTGACGACGTGCGATGGTGAGAGCGAGTTTGAGTCTCGTGCACCGACGCTGACGAGCGACCGCATGTGCAGCAAGCTGACGACGTGCACGAGCAGCCAGTATGAGAAGACTGCTGCGACGGCGACGAGCGACCGCGTGTGCAGCAAGCTGACGACGTGCACGAGCAGCCAGTATGAGAAGACTGCTGCGACGGCGACGAGCGACCGCGTGTGCAGCAAGCTGACGACGTGCACGAGCAGCCAGTATGAGAAGACTGCTGCGACATCGACGAGCGACCGCATGTGCAGCAAGCTGACGACGTGCACGAGCAGCCAGTACGAGAAGACTGCTGCGACATCGACGAGCGACCGCGTGTGCTGCCGTCATTGTGCTTCTGTGGAGCAGCTGTATAATTGCACAGCAGATCATCCCGGCATTTGTACCTGTGCACCCGGGTGAGTCTCATGCATTTTGAACGGATGTGACTGTTGAAGGATGAGAGGGTTGGTTACAAGTCGTTCTCACGCATTCTCACGCACTCACGCAGAAACTGGTTTGTCCATGTCGTTGCTGTAATTCAGGCTCTTTGAATCCACGGATCCAGGAGAGAACGCAACTACACCCTGTCGTGAGTGTGACCTGTGCCCTCCAGGTTACATTCGTGAGGGGTGCGGTAATTCTACTGCAGGTGTGTGCGTGGGCGTGACATGTGAACCACCACCCGTGATTGATGGCGCAGCGATGGCAGTGGCCAACTCGAGCAGATTCCCGTGCAGTACCTCGTACGCATGTGTCCCCGGGTATCTGCTGCATG